CTTCTACTAAGCCATGAGCAACTTTGTTTACTTGCAGATACATGCATTTTGACATCATTTTGCAAATAATTGTCATTTTAGGCACAAATAGACGAAGTGAATGGAATTCGGTGTTCATGTGCATCTGCTTGGCTCTGTGTGTGAGCACAGAAAACAGCGCATGTTCATAATTGAGCTCTATTTTGCGCCTTCTCGTGCTCAAATGGTTTAAAATCGTTTAACTATTTTTACCGACAGGACCTAAAACACATGAAAATGATGAACCTTGATTGTATGATGGTTAAACTTTGCAATTAATCCAAGAATCACCTGTGTTTCGAACCCTGGTCCATACAGATTAACGATCACTATACTCAACATCGAACACCCTGCGATGTGACTATCGCAGATGCGCACATTGCGATATCGATGCTGAAACGATATATATCGTGCAGCCCTACTTTAAAATTTGAAACCTAACAAACTTCTTTTTGTCTGTTTTGCTGTAAAAAAAATTGTATATGTGCAATATTTCTTTAAAATAATTTCTGCTTAGTTAGTTATTTTGTTATAAAATGTGCAAAGACATTCGTACAATAAATGTGACTTAAGCATCCAGATTTTTGCGACCACTGCATGTGAAAACGCCCTTAATGTGTTTCACTGAAACTGCTATCGGACATGCTGGCACAGTAGATCTCCCAGTGTTTCAGTGGTTAATTCCCCTGTTACTCCCCAGTGACTGATGGCATTAAGGAGAAAGATCTAACTCATTCTCTGATCTGGAGGACTCAGCACTCTGAACGACTTTGCTGGCTAGCTATAAAATGTGATCGATCCATTAAGAGACACAGACTCTTTGCAGTTCAAGACACTCCAAGGTGCTACGCTGCAGTGGTGCATTGGTTAGCTCAGTGTTTGCTAGAGGACAGTATTTTGGAGCGGTTGGGTATTTGGAAACACTGTGTCAGCTGGTGCGCAGCAAAATGCTGCTCTACATTAACCTGTTTACTGGCAGGCAGGAGAACACCACGTTACATAAGTCGTCTACACTCATGGCAGAGCCTGTCTTTACTTTGCACGTCCCCTCTTTAAATGCTTATAAATGTGCCTTTATAAACATTCATGCGGACACGCTCAGGGCGAAAAACCTTGTATGAAGCATTAGTGGAAACTGCAGAAATTAGGTTACTATGACAGGCAGGGGTTAACACCCAGTGTATGTGTTTATATGGTTAGGGTTGATTTAGTTTGTATATTTAGATTTTTTTTTTTAAGGGTAGAGCTTTGCAGGTGCTCTCTAAGAGCAAGGGTTAGTTATGGATTCTGGTTATGTTAATACAGAGAGAGCAGCTTTTGCCACTGGAGCTGTTCTGTAACACACACAGACACACATGCAGTGCAGGAGGGGTGAGCAAGTCTTCACTGCCCCGCTGTTTAGAAAGACAGATGTACAGAGAGGGAAAGGACAGTCAAACTTACTGAAGAATAGTCTTGGTTGAGATTTATATAATGAGATCCTCAAAATATTTCGTTTGAATCCATACTTCAATTTTAGTGGTTGCCATAAGAAATATGTGGAGAAAAAAAGCTTGAGTGCGCTATATAAAGTTATTATAGCCTAACAAAACAGTTTATTGTTCATTGCCATATTTACTTGTGGGGTGTAGTTGGTCCACTTGCTGTGATATTCTTCTCTCTATATACCTACCTACATATCCAGATACACACACACTGAGGCTGGCAGGACTGAATACAAGCAGACGAACTGTTGTGTGGGCCGTACAGTGTTTGTGAATGGAGTGGGCGTCTGCCACGCGTCTCATCTCTCTCTTTCTTTCTTTCTCGCTCATTCTCAGACCTCACCTCCCGCTGTTTCTATCACTGCCTGTCACTAAAACAAGCGTTAGTGTGGCACACTGCTCATCTCATTCCCCATGACAAAACACTGACTCACTCAACTGACTCTGCTTAAAGCTTCATGAGACAACATGTCTCTGGTATCATTGCTTTTATTATACACATTTGTTTGTGTGTCACAAAAGGAAAATGTATAGTCAGTTTGTAGACATTCTCACCAAGTGTTCTTAAAAAGTTCATCTAAAAATGTAAATGTCTTTAATGTTGCTTGATAAAAGTACTAATTTTTTTAATCCCTTAAAAAAAAAAAATTTACTAACCCCAAACGTTTGAATGGTACTGTTATAAAATTATAAAAATAAAACATTTGTGTTCCAAAGAAGAAGGAATGTCATACAGGTTTGAAAAGACATGATGATAAGTAAATTATGACAGAACTATCCATTGAATTTTATTTCCCCCATGTATAGGAATTTATAATATAGCTTTTTTAAAGGGGTCATTGGATGCTACATGCACTTTTACAAGTTGTTTGAACTGAAATGTGTGTTGGCAGTGTGTGTACACAACCACCCTATAATGATAAAAATCCACCCAGTGTTTTTTTTTTTAATCTACTAAAATCTTTACCCCTTTCTCAAATCGAGCCGATCTCAGTTGCCTGTCTGTGTGACGTCACAAAAACAAGCCCCTCCCACGATAGTTTGATTGACAGTATCGTTTCATCACTGGCGTCTTACCTCAGACCCGCCCTGAGTGAGCTGTCATCAGTCCGCCATTGTTTTACCGCCGGAGCAGATGTAGGCAAGAATGACTCCTAAGCGATTGAGGTGTTCTGTTGTTGGATGTAATAATGAACATAACAGTCGTAGTTTACTCCCGACATCTGAGCCGCTGAACTCGCAGTGGATTACTTTTGTTTTTGAAGGGATGCGCCCCCAATCTACCTAAATGCGTCTATGTTCGCGCGAATCAATTGTGATCCAGCTTCACCTACAGAAGAAGTGAGTATAAGGTTTTTTAATGAATCTTTGCAAATCGCCTTTCCTAATAATGTGCTAATTAGCAAGTTTCACGATGAATGCGGCTAAAGTAAACAGTCCCTCAGAGAGCAGGGGTGCGGTCAGCAGAGCTCATTAACATTTAAAGGGAAATGCTACAAAACGGCTTGCTCTGAAAAGAGCTGTTTTTGACAGGGTAAAAAAAGGTGTTTTTCACACTACCATTGAGAAATTTTAAAGGGGTCATATGATGCTGCTAAAAAGAACATTATTTTGTGTATTTGGTGTAATTAAATGTGTTTATGCGGGTTTTTTACTCTACCATTGAGAAATTTTAACCAAACTATATTACAGACTTTTCATTAAGACCCTATAGAATCATATCAACTTGTGGAAAATGGGCATCGAATGACCCCATTAAACATATTCAAATAGAGCTTAATAGTGGAAATATTTTGGTTGATTCCTTAAAGTGCACAAGCCTGCGCTCTCACCTTTGTACCCACTACCCTACATTTTGCACGGTGAGAAAACATTCTCAAGTCTGTTTGTTTGAAAATTAGGTTATGGTCTCCCAGCTAATTTGTTTTTAATATTTTTAGCATTTTTAATATACAGTCATAATAATCTTCAACTTTATAACATCCTCTATACATGTTGGTGACTCTCACAGAACAGTTATAAAGATTATTGTTAGATAACACAAATATGTAACATTTACAGCTCAGCTTCATCAGCCTGTTGTGCCGTCGTTGTTGTGTAACCTGTGAAAGAAGCTTCCTTCAGAGCACCCCCACTGACAACAGTTCTCTGAAACCTTCTTCACTGATCCAAAATCTCAAAGCTGGCTGTAACATTCCCCTCATGAGGAATTAACGGAGCACCGCTGCTCTAGATTAAACGTCTCTTGACCTATTATGGGCCGTTTTTTAAGTTTGCTAATCATGGTCAGAATTGGCACCTTGCTACTCAGAATGAATTGAATGAATGAGAATCATTTTTAGACCCCAACATGTCATTGGGGGCCAGAACTGTGACGTCTTTGTCAGTGGAACAATAAACAGTGGCCGTATTAATCTTTCATGAGCTCTTTTTATGGAACGTTAGCTGACTTGGACAGCGGAGCTCAGGGCGGCTTGTAATGTAGATAGCTGTATCACTTTAGCTGTGTCAAAAGAATGCACTGCTCTTAGTTGACCAAGAGTTACGTTTCCCAAAATCATTTGTATTTAATTTCATATGGCCTCTTTTATTATAGTGGTGTATTAATATTAATTCATTTTTACAGCTATATGCACATGCTCAAATTTATGCGACTTTCTGAAGCAAGGCAGCTTATTGAACAAATTTCTGCATTCATTACAAAACAAAAATCTGTCATTGTTTTAGGGAAAAAAAAGCGATCTCACATTGCTTGCTTTTGTTTGAACCTAAAAGAGAACTTGCTAGTTGTCATGGATATTAAGTTACAGTCATATGTGTTGGCACGCAGGTCTCCTAATGGTTTGTTTCAGCTGCATCCCTCAGCAGAGTTGTTTTTTCTTCTTCTTTTCTCTGCAGAGAGCTGCAGTCTTGATACCTAGTAGGAGGTTTAAGTCAATGTTTATGTGAGTGTTTGTATTAACGATGTTTGTTTCAGTATCCTGGACAAAGTGTGCATTTTAATGCTGCCTGGCTTAGCTGTGTTCTCTCATACAAATCAACGTTTGCCACTGGGCTTTGTTAGATTTAGGTGGATTCTTCTAAGACTTAAAAAAAAAAAAAAAAAAATATGTGCTAGATGCACTTGTTCACGTCGACTTTGAAACTCGCACACTTTGAAACACTCTATAGCCAAGTGCAGAACTGTGTTGGCTGTCTTTGTTGTTCCTTCCTCAGACAGAAATAGCACCTGACCCAGATTTTTGTTTAAACTTTGAACATTTGGTGAATGAGTAGTCAGTATTGGTGACGCCATTCATTATTGTGGATGTTGATTTGAGTCACCACAGTGAATGGACCGAATTTAATGTTTTATTATTGTTTTGTAACTCTTGTTATTTTTATTTTTGATTCATTGTAAGTTAAATATAAATGGAAATTTGAGTTTTGTCATCTTTTTCATCAATACAATGATGATTAGCAGCACTTAAACTGCCTCTCTCTTTCTCTGTCTTTCAGGGCCCTCTCCATGGATATAGACACAGATTATGAGCGACCTAATGTGGAGACCATAAAGTGTGTGGTGGTGGGTGATAATGCGGTGGGCAAGACACGACTGATCTGTGCCCGTGCCTGCAATGCCACCCTTACTCAGTACCAGCTGCTTGCCACCCACGTGCCAACTGTCTGGGCCATCGACCAATACCGTGTGTGCCAGGAGGTGGGCAGACCTTTGGCATATTGTGTACATGTTGAAGAGCATTGAGTGTTGACATAAATACTGTACATCTCATTTGTCGGAAGTCTAACATTGTAGTGGAAAAGTTACAGTCAAATTGAAAAGTACATATAAACATCGCAATGGAGTACAACCTGTTTAATTATGGGTGTATTTATTAGAGATCGACCGATATATCGATTTACCGATATTTTTCCCGATATTTAAGCATTTTACCATAATCGGCTATCGGTTTTGTAATATCGGATTCACCGATAAACGCCGCCATCTTGTGGGCGTTTTGAGAATTGCGCGCAGGATCGCCATTGCAGCGCGTCTGAGGGGAGACGAGACAACAACAACGGCATGCAGGTACTTGATATAGTTGCTATAGTTAGTAAACTTTATTTAACATAACAGCCATTTATGCACAAATTAGATGCATTATATAAATGCCTGATATGTAGTTTATGCAGCTTGGCTCTAAGAAATAGAGACCAACTCACGGAGTCACGTAAGATAATCCGTCAAGTCCCCAATAAAGACGTAACTTTGCATTAATTAAATAATACAGCCATGAATGAGCGCATGTTGGAAATAAAAACGCTGAATTTAATTCTCTCTCTGTTGTATATCTGCTCATCATTAGTCTCGTGAAGCCGCTTTCATATTGCTGTTCACTCACCGGGTTGATGCTCAAATGCTCCAGCACGCCACTGCATGTAACTTTTAACAAGATTCACTTGTTTAAAACACCCTAAATTGTATTAACATTTAATAACCATTCATTCGGTTCTGCATATCGGTTATCGGGCACATAAACATGCAAATAATCGGTATCGGTTATAAAATATCAATATCGGTCGATCACTAGTATTTATATACTATATACTTTAGTTTATATAAAATAGTTAAAATAGAGGGGAAAAATAAATCTGGTAAAATATTCATTTTATATACATTTTATAATACAATTTATTTATTTGTATATTTGTGAGTGTGTGTGTGTGTGTGCGTATATATATATATATACAGTATTGAATTCAATAAATAAAATTCAAAAATAAAACATTTCCTGTAATTTTAGCTTTACCAGGCCATCATTGCAAATGAAAAAAACAAACAAACAAACTACAATTTACTTAGTATTACATTTAAATGACATTGCAGAGAGAGTAATATGAATATAATGTGTTTGCATTGGTGTACTGGTACAATTAAACAAAAGTATTTTGAATAGGTGCTGGAGAGGTCACGAGACGTGGTGGACGAGGTCAGTGTCTCCCTCAGGCTGTGGGACACATTTGGAGATCATCACAAAGACAGACGCTTCGCTTATGGCAGGTCAGTTACACAATATGGAGCTGGATTTGAACTCATAGTGCTCAAGGTCTCATGACATGTGCGTGTTAACCGTTAGGCCATGGCACTAAACCCCTTGATACAAACACACTTGATGTCCCACAATACAGTTGCTCAGATCAATCTTCCATTTGATTGTTCTGGTATCTCTCCACTCTTGGCTGTGGCATGTGTTGCCCTTCCAAGTTTTGGTTATTGCCCTAATCCTCCCAGCTGGGAAGGTAATGTGCTGTAAGCCTAGCCAAAGAGCACTGCATGGAGGCTCTTATTCTCGGCGCAGTGAAGGATCAGTGGATCAGCAGTGGTGCTTTGTCTCAGGGCAGTGCAGCAGATCACAGTAGCCATTGAGCCAAGAAGAGATATTTGAGGTATTTGAACATCTAAGTCACACTTAAAATATAGGAATTTTGTTGCATTAAATACACAATATCAAACAATATAGCATCTGCAAACAAATTGTGCTAATTTTTAATAATTTTTACAGATGTATGAGAACAGTTTCCCACATTTTTCTCAATCATATTTGGGTTTTTCAGTAAATTCTAATTTGTTTTCTGAGAAAACAAACTGGGACTGAACCTGTGGTCTTTTGTTACCAGCTCAGATCTTTGACCACACAAAGTACCCACACATCAGATAAACTACCATTTAAAGGACTGCAGACAGTAAGATTTTTTAATGTTTTTAATGTCGCTACTCCAGTCCTTCAGAAATCATTCTAATATGCTAATTTGCTGCTTGAGAAGCATTTCTTATTATCTTCAGTGTTGAAAACAGTTGTGCTGTTTTAGAAATTTGTGGTTTGATGAACTTTTGATCTTTTGATGAATATAAAGTTCAAATGCACAGCATTTATTTGAAATAAAAATCTTGTGTGACATTATAAATGTCTTTACTGTCACTTTTGATCAATTTATTGCATCCTTGCTGAATAAAAGTAGCCTATTCATTTCTGTCAAAAAAACAACAACTTACTGACCCCAAACTTTTGAACAGTAGTGTACTGAGTAGACTAAGGTTTTGATTATATAATTCATCCAATAATTTAACAATATAATAGCGTTGTGAATGTGGTGTGTTTTTAGTATGTACTTGTGTAGCAGACAGAGAGAAGGAGAGCAGATGAAATCTGTGTGAATGAATCCACAGGATGTGTGTCTGTGAGATCAGACACGTCCAGTGTGTGCACAGTACTGAGGCAGATGCAGTCAGCTGATAAAGCACTATTAATGGTGGTGCCCTGTTATGGAAACATAAAATCAGGTGACCTTCACCGCTGGGGTCTATTACTTAAGCTAAATACACATCCACACAGACACATTTAACATTTCTTGAAAATGTTTATCAAAGCCTAGCTGAGTGAATTGACAAAACACATTGTGAAGCGCAAGTGAAAGGATCCAAACTTTTAGAAATCTCTGGAGGAACCATGCCTCATTGGGGAAGCCCTCCTCCATGGGCTAACACATATTTATACATAAACATATGCATATCATAAATGCATATATACAAAAAAAGTAATTTTGAACAGATTAGTATATCATCGATGGTAAAGTACTATGTTATTTCCTACAGATACCATCATTGTACTACGGTTTTTGTGTTGTTTTGTTGTTCTCAGAATGTTTAGGTTGATTTATGTTTAAATATGTATCTGTGATCAAGACTGTGTTTACAGTGTAGTCAAGCAGACACACAGTCAGGAGTTTGAACTTAGACATGCTCTACATAGCTCTACAGAACACCACACATACTGATTACATAACACAGTCCTTTATGACCCTCAACACTCGCTTTTACAGCACACGTGGTTATTATTCACTGAGAGATGGTGAATGATTGTGGATAGATCTGTAGATGTGTTAGTCTGTGTGTGTTTTGTTTTTTATTTGCCTTATCTCTGACCCATTTCCACATATTCTTGCAAACATTCCCATGTTTAACATACACATGTGTACACTAATAGAAACAGACACTGGGTTGTTTACTTTGACCTCTGGAGTCTGTTAGCCATTTGCACATATATGTTAGTGTGTCTTAGTTTAGTAAAGAGACTTAAGGCCCATTCACATGAAGCATGATAACTATAATAATAAAGATATCATTTTAAAAAATTTTCTAAATTTAAAAGAATATCAGAGTCCACATCACAACTAGAGCAACGATATCACTGGAATCACTTTCATAATGTTTTTTTCCCTAGATGATCAACAATAAAAACAATGGAATGGGCCTTTAGCCCATCTAGCTCATTTAGGGGCAATCCCATTGCAATGTCAACATACCATGCATGTAAAAAATAATGTATTTCCAAAGGAAGTAAGCATGTTATGATTGTCAACTTTTTGGTAATGTTATGTTTTCAGGGAAATTCCTTTGTTTAATCATCACACATGAGGTGTTTGCCAATAATAAAGCAACTTTTTTAAGAAAATCCCTAGATTTTCACTCTAGGGTGTCAATAAGTATTTTCTAGAAAGATTATATCTTTAGAAAATATCTTAGAAATGTCTGAGAAACATTGGCTGTCATATTATATCTGTAAACATGCACAGAAGCACTTTCCAGTGTAAATGCATAACTGTGATGAAATCTGTTAGACCAAGTCTGTTTACATTACAACAACAATGCGGTGCTCCATTAGTCATTCTTGTGTATGCTGGTCTCACATGATGAGCTTATGAGTGCAGCTGTGAAATATGACATGGTCGGACAACTCGCTATTATTAGACCAGTGCTGGTAAGAGTCAGACGAGATGCTTTAATGATTTGCATAACACCTTGCATGCTCACACATTCACTGGAAGAGAACACACTGATTAATACACACACAATTCTTTATGAAGTTTGTTCATGCCTCTGGAAAAATGGTCTTACAGCGATTTTCATTTCACAAAAGACTGATTATGATTAGTGAGCTGTGATCTTTGAATCTATTCAAAAATCCCATTATGACTGAATGTAAAAGACGTAACTAAAATAATGGTAAATAAATATGACTTTGGTGTACAGTAGTGCCATAAGTAACACTTGTGTATGGAAAAAAATTATATGTCTGGTCTTACGACATTTTGAAAGCAAAGAAAAGACTTAGTAGCTCACAGTATTTTTGTTTGTTGCATTTCACAGTTTTTATTCCAATAACAGTGATTCACTGTCCATTTTAAAGCCTCTGTGTAGGATGATTAGTGTCCAGGGTTTGCCAATTTCCTGCCTATTACATGATTTCTTCGGATGTATTCTCTTAAAATAAACCGATTTATTTCTCTTTGTGTGTTTAGATCAGATGTAGTAGTGCTGTGCTTCTCTTTGGCCAATCCGAACTCCCTGCGCCATGTCCGCACCATGTGGTTCCCTGAGATTAAGCACTTCTGCCCCCGCACCCCGATCATCCTGGTGGGCTGCCAGCTGGACCTTCGCTATGCTGATCTGGACGCTGTTAACCGGGCTCGCCGGCCTCTGGCCAAGTACGGACCACATCCTACACCCACTCATATCACATATTCTGTTGTTAAACTTCAGTATGAAAAGTGTTCAGGAGCTTCCGTTCAGAGAGGGTTATTGTATGCCTTTATACATTTGTAGTCAGTTATGCATTTTCTGCACTTGCCTTTGATGGCTTGTAAGATAGGTGAAATACCTCCTTTAATATATAAAGATTTAAAAAAAAAAAATTCTGTGAATTGTTTTTATTTTGAAGTGAAAAGGTAAAGTTGGACCCACCGAATTGGGACAGAAGTCTCCCAGTGGCATGTTGTTGCTGCTGTTTTTATAGTTTGTTAAATAATTATTGAAATTTGAAAGAATGAGACTTTTGAATGGTAGTGTATATATTTTGCCTGGCTTTAACAATGCTTCTGCTTTTCTTTAACCCTCTCCTCCTAGAACCATCAAACCCACAGACATCCTTCCCCCAGAACGAGGCCACGAGGTTGCTAAGGAACTCGGCATTCCATACTACGAGACAAGTATTGTCGCTCAGTTCGGTGTAAAGGATGTGTTTGACAATGCTATCCGTGCTGCACTCATCTCTCGACGCCACCTTCAGTTCTGGAAGTCCCATCTAAAAAAGGTTCAGCGTCCCCTACTCCAGGCACCGTTCCTCCCTCCCAGACCACCACGACCTATGGTGGGCATCCCTGATCCTCCTCCCATGGATGGAGAAGGTCCAGACTCTCTTTTCTGCCAGCCATTGTGTGCAGATGTCCTGTTTCTACTCCAGGCTGGGACCACTTGTGTCTTTGCCCATAAGGTGTACCTGGCCACTTCCTGCTCAAAGTTCTATGACCTTTTCACTATGGATCTTGGAGGGGTAGGGATGGAGAAGGAGGGTGAGGAAAGCTCAGAGGGGAGTGAAGAAGAGGAGCAGTGCCGAAGAGGAGCCAAAGAACAGGCTGGGCGTACCAAGAGCCTGGACATTGATAAGGAGGGTGAAGGGGGCACCAGGGGTTCAAATAGGCTGCTCATGTTGCAGCAGGGCTCACTGAGGACTTCACAGAGCGATAACGCTCTGCCTGCCAGTGGCCAATGCTCTATGGGACCCCTGGGAGCAGGCCGTGCTCTTTTGGGATGGGGGCGTGGTTTCTTGGGGTTGTACTTGGAAATGGTGGATGACCCTGTGACAGGTCGGCCGAGACTCATGACAGTTGTGTCAATGGATGATCTCATTCAGAAAGGGCCTTTCCAGGTAAGAACAAACTTAAGTGACACAATCTATAGCAATCTATAGTATGTTTTATAAGAATCTCACTTGATATATCTATGAAATATCAATGGCAGTGTCACATTATCTGTTACCCTTCTCTCTGCTTTTTCAGGCAGTGTTGCAGTACCTTTATACGGGTCACCTGGATGAGACACGTGGGGACCTGATGCAGGTGGCCACCATCGCTGAGCTTCTGGAGGTCTTTGACCTGCGTATGATGGTGGCCAATGTGCTGAACCATGAGAGCTTCATGAACCAGGAGATCACCAAAGCCTTCCATGTGCGTCGTGCCAACCGCATCAAAGAGTGCCTGAGCAAGGGCACCTTTGCTGGTAGGCAATCTGAAATCAGGGTCAAACATTACATATTACATATATCTACTGTATGTGAAGAAGCATTAATGAAGGATCTATCTGTCTATCTATATTGTAATATTGTCAATGCTAGATTAAATTCATACTTGATAGAGTCAAACAAAAACTTTTTTAACAACCAGAACACAATGCATACAAGGAAACTCGGTTCATATCTTTTTGTGACCCAAATGTCCTGGCAACTTTTAATTATTGTATCCTGATAAATTACCCTGCTCAATGTTCTATCCTTTTACACTGAGAAACTGAATCAAGCCTTTTCTCCAATAATAATAACCTTTAACAAGCAACTTAAAAACTGCTGTTGATGAGAGAATGATAAACAATAAATGGACAGTTCTCAGTTAATTAACTGTCCTAATTTGTATAGTGCAGATTCCTCAGGACGTTCTGGTGTTATTGGGTAGCTAATTCCCATTACTTGTCAGCGTGTCACATTCAAAAAGTTTTCTTAGTGACACCATTGACTTGAGTCTCATAAGTTCTATTTTCAATTCCAGAATTCAGTGGAATTGGAATAGAATAGTTCATACTCTAGAACAGTCAGTTTACACAATTTGTTTTTCCTTTCCTTCATTCAGTCTCTTTGTTTTTTTAAGGAAATACCCAGTGGAGTGCTTTATAATATCCCTTCATTGGTGTTAGTGAATATTTGCATATTGTGTTTGCTTTTCTGCTTTGTGGTTTTCTGTCGCGTACTCTCTGTTGTTGTCACGTCTTGTTTGTTGTTTGCATGTTTGTCATAATTAACCTTTTTCAACACTCCTGTACTCTCCACTTACACCTGTTTATTTAATTGCTTCATCTGCAATTGTCATAATCTCATTACCCAACCATGAAGGTGCTTCTCTCGTGTTTAAAAACCAGAACGTTTTTCATCTCCATTGTGGCCTGAAGACTACTTGTACATTCCCTATGGGTATGCAGAAGTTTATCAACTGGATCATTAGAGATCTATTTGCTTACCCCCGTAGAGTTGAAATCTGCATTGAATTTAATTAGGTGCTTTTTTCACATCATGCCCTCCTGATACCCACAGTATACTGCTAAAAAACCTATTCAACATCATTTATTGTTTAACATAATTAGTGAGCCACAGTGAACACGTGGAGTCATCCAGGTCAGTCTTTAAAGGATTTGCTGCTAAAATAAATTTGCCCCCTATATGGTCCCAGTCTGGCTCTCCCTTCACATTTTTCTTCTTATCCTTAGCCTTGTCAATCTGTCTATTTATTATTGGTCTGTGTGTCTATCTGTCTCTTCGTCTGTCTCTTTGTGTTCGTCCGTCCACCTGTCTCCCCCTCTGTAGCCTCGACTCTGTGACACACGCCGAGATGTGTGATCTTTTCCTCCCGGTTTTAGATGTGGTGTTTAGATTGGACGACCGATATCTGCCAGCCCATAAGCCACTGCTCATCTCAAGCTGTGATTGGATGGCAGCCATGTTTCGTGGATTCTTCATGGAGAGCTACATTGAGGAGGTGAGCAAGAGCATAGGTCTTTCTGTCTGTCTGTCTGTCTGTCTATCTATCTATCTATCTATCTATAGCGATGCATATAGCTTCCAAACCAAGCATCTTTCTATTGGTTCTGTTCTCTTAGTATCGACTAGGTACCAAAGTTTATGGCAGACTACATTTGACATCAGTAGTCTATGTCATTTGGGTTTGACATCATGTTAGAGTTATTTTAATATATTAATATATTTTCCTGGACAAGGTAGATCAAGTAGGTTATTTTTTCAGTGTGTATTTTTCTTATTTCATTACCATGATATGCGACGCAGCAGTCAATATATGATATATGCAAAGTTTAACCTAAACTTATTTATGGAACCACAAAGTAATGATTAGTCTCAGTCACCTTGATCCTTCCTACCCTGAAGCTCTGACAGATCCAACTAAAAAAGTGGCACAGGTAGTTAAAAAGTAGGCCACCTCTATGACAGCCTGACCCACATTGATGCAGCTGCGACAGGAGGCCATCTCATCCATATGGATGAATTTACAGCCGCACAGGACTAAACAGGGCTCTAAGGGGAGCGCTCCAGGCAGACTGATGCTGAGATGTTAGAGGAGGTCCTGTGCCAGCGGGAACACATGCTGTGATATATCTGCTTTGTGTCTGTGCTCCCATATTCAAGAGAGGCAAGCTAGAAGGGGTCTAGAAAGATTTATTTGTAGTGATTGAGGTTGTAGAACAAATTTAGGATTTGGTCTAGTTTTGACATTGTTATTGAGTTATTTTAATGTATATTAATATATTTTCCTGGACAAGGTAGTTATTTTTTTTTCAGTCTGTATTTTTCTTATTTCATTGCCGTGAAATGCAACGCTGCAGTCGATATGATCCATGAACTACTGTGTGTTTAGATTATGCACATGCTCATACCAAAACACACTCATGCCTTTGTGTGTATGTTTTGGTATATTACTTAGTTTGCAGTGACAGGAAGTGTGTTAGACTGGGCACTTCTTCTAGTCATTTCCTCAGCACCATCATGCTAATGTGAACAGGAAGTTTTTGTGTGTAAACTTTTAGATTATTGGGCCCAAAGGGGTATTTTTCAACATTATTCAAATTGATTTCATATTAAATAACTACATGATAACCATTCCACACAGTTTTTGATTAAGTTACACTTGTTTTCTATGGAATTATTCTAACATATCACAGTTTCTGCTTGGCACAAATTTAGCTCATGTATTTTTCATCCAAAACTATTAAGTCGGGTGTCAAAGGTAAGGTTTCACTGTATTCCTTTCTGAGGCCCATCTCACCCGCACATAACTCTATCCAGGTCTATCCCATGCACGCTCTCTGATTTCCTTTGGCTACCGGCTGTCAGCTCAAGTTCTAGAAAGACAAGCTCCCTAAGGGCAGGAACTCGGGACCAAGCTGACCAACACCAGAGGTAGAGAGACAACTGGCTGGGTTATAGGTGTCCAGGCCTGCCGGTGAACAGGATCGCCCTGTATTACATTACAAGCATTACAGGGAGCTAGATTTACAGCACAAGTACAAACTGATGCGGGAAATAGGATGCTGGCTGTTTTTCTATTCTGACCGCATCGGCTGAGAGTATGTCACATAGAGATCAACACAAGGTGGCCAGAGACAAGTAAACTTGGTTCTGCTTTGACAAGCTTGACATGCTCTTTGATCAAGTGTTGAATTTTAAGGAGTATAATAGTATAATAGGGTTTGATTTTATTAAAGGAATGCTCCACCCAAAATTTTAAATTCTCTTACCATCATGCTGTCCCATATGTCTTTCATTACATGTCTTTCTTTTTTAAGATGAACACAAACAGAGATTTTCAGAAAAATAATCCACCTTTTTGAGTCTATATAATGCAAGTGGATGGGACCCTCAAAGCTGACACTTCACAAACCACACAGAACAAATGGAACGGTAGTCCATAAGACCCCAGTTGATGAATCGATGTCTTCTGAAGTGTAACTATAGTTTTGTGTGACACCATGGAAGCACAGAGGACCGTCACTACTTGAACAAATTTAGCACTGTGCTTACATCACACTTCACAATATGTTGACGTTTACGTCAAGCAAACGTACATAAGACAGTTTGCCGGAAGTGATAGTTTATAGAGGTGTGTAAGTTGAAAATATTAGTATTTTTCCCACACACAACTGAGGTTTTACGGTTTACTTTCGTGTTTGTTTTGCATGTTTTTTTAAATGTCAACTTTGAGGATCCCGTCCACTTAGGTTATATGGACTCAGAGTGACTTATATGGATAAATTCATGTACATCTTGGACAACATGAGGGTGAGTAAATGATTGGGTATTTTGAGTATCACTTTAATGTCTGTTTTGGTTGACACTGAAATAACGTATATGTTCATTAGTTAGTACAGTAACAATCTTAGAGTCACTGTTATTACTGTTACAGGATACTGTTACAGGATAGGGCTGTGCCTTTACACCTCGTACCTCAGATACTTTGTTTGGTTTTGATTATCATGTCTATCGTGCTAAAATCATGCGTTCCCTTTCGAGCATTCACTCTACGTTGTGATGCATTCGCAGTGGGAACTCCTCCCCGTCCCTGAAAATCCTGAAACTTAATAGAATAACGCTAGTACAATAAACTGGCCAACTGTCGTTAATTATGTAAATCGCATTCAAATACTGACAAGCCTGCGGGCCAGTCCTTTGGCTGACGAAAAGGACTGGCCAACACATCC